CAGTATGAAGGTCACCTGGATTTACCAAGAAGGGACATAACATTTATGAAAGAGGGTTTTTTCATGGATTAATCACATTCCCTTCATGGCACCTGCTCTTATCTGTTCATCAGGCATAAAGAAACACTAAAATGCAGATGAGATTTCCTTTAGGGTCAGCAGTTATGAAGTTTACACAGCCTACACGTTTGTCTATGTCAACAGCAAGTACAAAGGTCGTGTTACGCTTCAGTGACTCGTTCATGTTGATATTTATATTCTCCATTACATCCTATAGGCCCTGTGAGCAGTGTACTCACCCACGTCCTTGAATTTGATATTGGTGTCGAAAAGAGACTGGTTCTTCCGACCCAAGAAGTTCAGCGTTCCCCTCTTCATGATTATTGATTGGTTGGTGTGTTGATACGACTGTTCGGCTCAGGCTGGATTATTGACGCATTTTGATGAACAGGTAAAATCCGAGGCAAGAAGTTGAGCAGGTGAACCTTCGCGAACAGGTGCTCCAGCGCTCAACAGGTAAACCTGACTCCAGTGATTTGGTGCAAACTTTTTCAGGACGGAGACAGAGAAAATGGAGCTAACCCCGCCCACTCTCCTTTCACTGTGTGCCTCCCTGTTTTCATACACTCCCTAACAGGTGAGGCCTCGGCTCTCCTTTTTAGACACATTCCAGCACAAAGCGCACCTGAGTTTACCTGTGGCTCGACTAGTCTCATTCGCTCGCTTTAATGCGCACTGTGCTCTCACTGCTCGGGGCCCGGATCGCCTAGGTGGAAAGTAACTAAAGTAAAGTACATTTACTTAAGTACATTTACTTCTAAATTACTTTTAGTTTTAATTTTATGCTACTCTCCACTTCTATTTCTATTTTATATTATACTTTTAACTTAATTGTTAAGAATCTGTGGTTATTAGTTACTTTAAATTAACCCCAACAGTATAAAAAAGAATATGATTAGTTTTACTGCGGCCGGCTACAACATTTAAATACATGTTAATACATTGATAATAATAATCTAATAGTATAAAAATAATTTAACAACAGAGCCCATGTTTGTTTTATTTGTGATATTGCTATTTTTACTTAAGTAAACATATGACACTTTGATTAGGAATTATTCATTAACTAATGGTTCACTAGCAGTTAGTCCCTCGTTTGTTCCCTGGTAACAACTCAAAATGTTGTGTCCCTTATTGTAAAGTGTGACCAGTAAAAGATCTTAATAGTTCTTCCACCGCTGTTAAATACAACTTTAATGTCTTTGTGCTTCAGTATTTCTATCTTATTCTACTACACTTGCACTCTACTTGTATTGTGTGTTTGACTCCACAACATTTACCCAAAAGCATATAAAGCAGTTAAAAGTAACTCTAACCAGCTACAACATTACAAGTACTGCTTAATGCATCATTAATAATAATCCAATAATTCATACTTTAAGTACATTTTGCTGATAATGCTTACGGATATTTACATAAGTTAAAACTGAATGGAGGACCTTTACTTTTAACTTAACGAGTATTTTTACATTGTAGTATTGCTACTTTTACTTTAGTTATCTGAATACAACTTCTATCATTGGGTGACTTGCTGGTGCACATTAAAGACCATGAAATACAAGTAAATGAATCCAGGAAATGGTTAAACATGGAGAACTAAATCAAAATAAAAAGTGTAATTATTTGTTATAAAAATGCCAGCCTATACAGACAGGTATATTAAAGCTTTTTACAATGTGGCACAGACGAGTGAGGAGGGTTTATACAGTAAAAACATGCTCTGTCTTTGTCCTGAACCTAGACTGTGAAACTTTTAACAGGATTTTTTTAAATATATAATGGAGCCAAACAATGGACTTAAAACAATCTTAAACTGAATTCTTAAACATGTAATCCATTCAGGACTGCAGAGATATATGCATTCAGTGTTTGTCAGAAGGCTTAACATAACAATGTGCCATGCTATTTATCCCTCTGGGTATTTGCTCAGTTATTTATTAATAATGTTTTAGGCATTAAGTTTTTGTTATGAATCCCTTTTTTATTTATTTAATTGCCTGAATTCCATGGTGTTATTGACCTAAGGATGGTGAGCCGTGTGACCTTTGTCCGGAGGATAAATGTATGATGTAGAAGAGTCTTGAATAAAGAGGATCAAGAATCCTCTAAAGCTCAGAGACAGCTGACCCTTGACAGTGACAACATTCACCTAATGCACATCTGACCTAAACGGTAATCTCTGTTTCTTCACAACCTCGGAGCAGAGGAGGTAACCAGTGTGCTTATTTCCAGTCTTTGGTAATAACAACTAAAGATAAAGAATTATGTAGTAATAATAACTACAGGCATCATTATTTAGTATGTTGGATCTAATTCCTGAATTTGGTATTTAATGTAGAATGAAAAATATTTAAAAGTTTTATCATAAAATGAGGAACAGGAGGAGCCCCATGCCTTTAATTACATAACAGTGGAACTTTTGAAACATTAATGCTTTCCAGAAAACCAATGTTTTTCCTCCTGGCTACAGTCACAGTGTTTCTGTTAAGTCTGTCTGTCGCACCTAAACCTCAGTTGTCCTGGAGACTGACGAGACTGGTCCATCCAGTTTCTCTGTCCTGAGAACTCTTCCCTACCGATGCTGGCTGAAATGTGAAGAATGTGCTGGCAAGTGCTTTTAACACTTTACCTGCTTCACTGTCCTGAATGTACTGTACAGGTGTGAGCAGGTAACCAGTTTGGGGCATTGTTAGCTCTCTTATTCAATCATTTATTAATTACTTATTGCCACATTATGAGCATTAGGCACAACAATGACATTTTGTTGACTTTTAATTGCATGTCAACTAATAAACTTGATTACAAATTTGATACAAGTTTTATCATGTTTTATTGAAACACAGCAGTGTTCAATATACAGCATTTCTTCTAATCAACTTCTGCTTCCCTTTGTTCCATTCTAAATGTATCCACAAATCATACAGGCACTGACTGTTCAGTTGCAAAATCATAAAAGAGTACGAAGACAGCTGACATTGTGCGTTTCCAGACGCAGGCAGTCAAAGGAAATGAAGACCATGAATATTTTGCATTCCATCACGATGAATCAGTTGTAAATGTAATTGAAACTACAGATGATATCAAAACCTGATATATTGTTGTGGAAGAATGTGTGCAGTTGCTAAGAAGAGAAAAGCCGGTTCAGTGTATATCAGCATTGTTGATGTGTCACTTGAAGGCAGGTTTCATTTTCATTCAGTGGAAGTAGTTCACAGTGAGGTGTGTGTGAGTTTGTATACGTGTCTTTCATTGTATTCTTGCTTTTATTCTACCAGAGTTATTTAGGTATGTCTATGTACACGTTGTTTGCTCTGTGTACTTTATGCTTCTGTGTTGCATGTTTCAGTTAGTACTTTGTAATGTAGTCCTGATGATGTCTTGGATTATATATTTTTAACCAATATTATTATTCCCTAACTATTATTCTGCATGCTCACTAACTTATTTTAATAGATGACTTCATTTTAATGTTATACTATTTTATTGGGTGAGTATGTAACAAGGACAATAGATTAAAATGTGACTTTTAGACAACTTTTTGTGGCTAACTCTTTGGCTAACTCCCTTCTCCCTATCAAAAATAAATAAATAAATACAACTAAATGTCATTCACCTCCATTGGTGGAAGCAAACATCTTCATGCTAAGGTAAATATTGGCACAGCTAGATAACACTAAGTAGGTGTTTTGTAATTTGGGGGAACTGGCCCTTTAACCTTTTAATGTGCTGGGGAGTTTTACACTTACACATCTCCGTCCAGTCCAACAAACCAGGTACCACTGCAGTGGATCTGACAGCAGGTGGGGGAGCTTTAAGAGGATCTAAAGAAACCCAGTGGCTGCCATTCCTCCAGTTAAACTACAGTAAGCTGAAAGACCACTCAGGACTACAGTGATAAGACTTAAGGAATGGAGATTTATGAATATGGACAAATATTCTCAAACTCATGTTTGCCTTAAATAGGTGCAATGCTGTATTTTGAAAATTAGTCCTTGATAGTCCATTTTCTAACTTATAGTCCAAACACACATTGTATGCATGGACTGCTTCGACACCTTTTCAATATAGCAAAAGGTTAATGCTGCATTTTATGGTTGGCTTCCATTTTTATGTTTACTTTTTCTTTTCACCTGGGTGTCAATGAACCCCTCGCTGGGAGGTTAAGTTCATGTAACAGAGGAATAACACATTCACAGTGCTGACTGAGGGATGGCCCAAACTCCCACAATCACAATGCCATCTGAGTTGCAGTGGCCCCCATTTCATCTGTGAGAGGACCAAATAACATCCGACAATAAAGCAAAATCATGGTTTATGATTCTGTTTTATAGTGGGTCCACCAGACTGAAATATCTCAACAACTGTTGGCTGGATTGCCATGAAGGTTTGTACAGAAGTGCATGGTCTCTGGAGGTGGAATCCTACTGACTTTGGTAAATCTATTATTTTTCCTGTCCACCATGAGGTTGAGTTTTTCAGTTCTTATACATATCGAATAACAACTATTGGATGGTTCACTGTAAAATATCGTCATACATTCATGGTCCCCAAAGGATTATTTAGTGCTAATAAACAAATATTAGCATGCTACCGTATCAAACCTAAATCTAATTGAGCAGTAATACTTGATATTTGATTCATAAAAGCTAGTCAGAAATCTTTTGGTCAGCTGATGTCATCGTGTAGCTTACACAAGGGTTTATTTCTGCTCTTAGGTCTCCTCAAAGTGGATTAGCCTACAACTTCTGAGCCTTTCACATACACACAAACACACACACAGAGATGATTGGCTAACACACACACACACACACACACACACACACACTGAAACCTGCTGTTTGAAAAACCGTCCACATACTGGCCACGCTCGGATGCCTGGTGGATGCAGTATGTTCTGGTTATGATCTTTACAGGATTTTTTACATCTTTATTTTACGGACATGGGAAACTCCGTGGGTGTGGACGAACTCCAGGCTTGTGAGAGTCATCAGTGGTATAGAAAATTCATGACCGAGTGCCCATCTGGACTTCTCACCTTTTATGAGTTCAAGCAGTTCTTTGGCCTGAAGAATCTATCGGATGCATCAAATGCCTACGTTAAGACTATGTTTTCAACATTTGATATGAATGATGTAAGACCATTTATAATCTTCTGGCAGGTTTATACAATTATTCTTATCATACTGTATCAGTAAAGTTGAATCTCTAAATGTACTACTTTTTTTCTTTTTACTGAATAGCATTGGAATTAAATACAGTGCAATATTTACAACCTTTGTACTAAAAGAAGGCTTAGTTCACATTCAGTGTATGTATTTGCAGGTATGTATCTTATGATAAATCTACTAACATAAATAATCTAAATCATACTTGTAATATTTTAATAATACTGACAAAAATATAAATGGATTTATACTCCTCATCAGAGAATCCACAAAGATTTTATTTAAATTATTTCTGTTTAATTTTTACATGCTTTATTTCTACCAATTACATCTATTTCATGTCTATTAACTATGAGCAATGAAACAGGTTTGTGTTTATTTCTTCTTTTTTGACAGTGAAAATATTTTGGGTTTTGAGTAGAGTAAAGTTGATGTTGTTATTTCTGCTAATAGAAATATGTTTACAAGGAACTTATTCTATAAGAGAGGGGTCTTATCCCGTTGCTGCTGCTTACCCAACTGACCCACAACCTTAAACAAGACAGGTGCCACTTCTTTTTACATACATGTGACTAGGAGCAGGCGTATGCTACTAATTGGGAATACATCTCTCTGTCTGACAGTATTATTAAGTAATTTCTGGTGGTGTAGAACAGTGTAGCAAAGATTATTAACAGCAGGCCCACAATTCCACAATTTGCCTGTTTTTTTATTGTATTATTATCGTTGTCGCAGTATACCTTGAATGCCACACTGCTCTGCTAATGACAATGTTCATGGTGTCCTTTTCTTTTCTAGGATGGTTTCATTGATTTCATGGAGTATGTAGCTGCTCTGAGCCTGGTGCTAAAAGGAGAAGTGCAACAGAAGCTCCGCTGGTACTTTAAGCTGTATGATATAGACGGGAGTGGCTGCATCGACCGTGAAGAGCTGCTTCAGATAATCAGGGTGCGCATGAGCCTTCATAGCTTAATAAAAGACCTTGGAAAATCCCAAGATTTGTCCTGGAACAACCTGCTAAGTCCACTGGGGTCTGAATTAGATACAAGGCACAGAAATCCCCACTCAGGCTTAGAGCGGAGTGGGACCTATTCAGGTAACACAAAGGTGCAGAGGCAAATAGATGACACCAAACTGACATCTACTGGTTGAAGAAATATATGCAACAGTTTATGAATACATGTACAGAAGTATTATCAGCTAAATGTTATCAGCTAAATTATTAGATTGTTAATATTGAAGCATCAATTCTTAAGCAGCATTATAGCTTTTGAAGCTGTAATTACTTTATATTTACTATTAGGCAGTTTCCCCCAGTGGTCGGTCCCCCTCAACAGGGTCAGAAGATAAATCTGAGAGGTGTCAAGATTATTAATGGGGAATAAAAGTTCATTTTTAGGGACTTTGCTCTAATCTCTAAGCTTTTTGTGTGAGTTTTACCTTGTGTCGCTTCAGACACAACTTTATTTTAAATTAAAATAGGACTTTAGCGGGGAAATAGACAATCTGAATCTGTAAAGTATCAATAATAACTAAATAAAGTAGTAAAAAGTACAACATTTAAGTAGCATCAAATAAAAACAGTAAAAAATCATATTTAAAGGTCCAGTGTGTAACATTTAGGAAGCTTTATTGGCAAAAATGGAATTTAATAGAAGAAGCCGCAGGTTGTATTTCATGGAGGGCGCCATGTTGAACCGCCATGTTTGTACAGTAGCCTGGTATGGACAAACCAAACACTTGCTCTAGGTAAGGCCATTTGCGTCTTTGAGTGTTTCATACCCACCATTGTTTTCCCTTTGCACTTGGAAGGGTAGGGTTAACCAAGGGAGTTACAATCTGAAACTACACTGCTATTCGCAACTAAATCCTACACACTGGATCTTTAAATACAGTACTTGTACTTAAAGTTACTTAGTTACTGTACACCACTGTTCCTTAATATGATCTCTTGTCTTTGTGTCTTGTTCAGTCCATCCGTGCAATCAACGGAAATGATTGTGAGATGTCAGCCGAGAACTTTGCTAACATGGTGTTTGACAAGATTGACATCAATGGAGATGGTAAGACCCTGGGGTGAAATCTTTAGTCATACATTGGGCAAACCAACCAGGTTGGGGGGATGTGTGAGAAAAAAGATGAATATCTTAACCAGGGCAAATTACTCATTAAATATCTCCATCAACATTCAAGGATTTGAGTTCAGTTTGTATGTTTTCCAGGTGAACTGTCCTATGATGAGTTCATGGAGGGGGTCCAGAATGACGAAATGCTGCTGAAGACGCTAACAGAGAGTTTGGACCTCACACACATTGTCCAAAAAATTCAAGGAGAGATGAGGGTTAACATCTGATATTTCCAGCTCTATGGACCCTAAATGTTTTTGTGTAACTGTGCCACAGCCGGATGATGAAGATGTGGGTTCAGGATGATCTGCAAATCATAATCAGGACAAATGGATGTGGACCGACCTCCGGGTCGTTGTGAGAGTACACCACAGTTGTACTGTTTTGGTTTTTCTTCACCTATTCATGGGCCGGCAGGGACTCCCAGCTATATTAAAGTTGTACTCAATGCATATGCATCTAGAAAAATGAAACAAGATTTCTACTGATGTGACAGAAATTCACAATGAAAACAAGTCCGGATTCTACTTTATGTATATAAGTTACATAACATGCTGGCATCCTCCAGGTGAAATGAAACACTGCATGATTTCTGTCCATTGAACATTAAGTGCCATTATTGCCATGGATTTTAACCATTGCATGCTGTTTGACATCAAATACATGTTGAACTTTATGTGTTTAGGTAAAAGCTACTATACCAGCAGAATCTGGAGACCTTTTAACTTTCTTAAATATATATTGTATATTCTGTACAGTAAATCCTCCTGAGATTTCCCTTCTTCTGAGCCATTGCAGGAGTGTAGGTATTTTTATAAAGCCTTTACAGCAAACCTCTTTTATGCCTTCAATGATTTTGATGCAAAAATGACCTACACTGAGGTAGACTCACTGGACAGTAACTGTAATGTACATTTTAAAATAAACAATAAACGTATCAGAATCATGTGACTTTGTTCTTTAATCAGCCTCTAGTTGTGTTCCAGCATCATCAGAAGGCGTCCAGCCCGCACAGGAAAAACATAATTAAGCTGGCAAGAAGGAATCCTTTTGAATGTTGACAGTTTATTATTCTTTAGGACAATCAGGATGTGTGTATTTATATGTGTCTGTAGCCCTTCACATTGTCATATGACTGAAAGCAGCTTAAAGCTTTGTTGTTCTTCAGTTGTCAATTGCACAACATTACACAGTTTAATTTTGATATGTGTACTTTCTTAAAGATATTTAACAGATGATGCAGATTTTCTCATTTTGTTGTAAAGGGTTAAGCAAGAAGCACATCCAGCATTAACATTAATTAATCTATCCCATAATAGACAGGTCTTCATAAAAGTCAGAAGCCTAATTATGTGCAAAACAAGTATTTTTTCTTCATCCCTTTAATCGTCTGGTGACCCCTTTACAGTAGATTTGTGTACCCTTTGGGGGACATTGACCCTCAGGTTGGGAACCACTGCATACATTATGCCCTTTGTGATGCTACCGACAGCTGGCACTAAGCCGATGACCCAAAACAGCCCCACGTCCAAGCATTCATCCCAGAATGCAAAACGCATAGTTAGCATCACACACACACGCAACAGGCTCATTGCGCATATTGTGCCGAAACCAGGAACACCAAAAGTGAAAATGCGCAGCTGACAGCCGACACACGCTCCCAAAGCCATGAGTAGTTTCAGGGAGTGGTTTGTTGTTGTCGGCCTGTTTTGGTGACTATTACCGACTGGATCACCATCAGCCGTCCACTTGACATGTGCCACTGTTGTTACCGGTCTGAGTCAAGTCATGAATCCTGTGTGCAGTTCTGGATGTGGGATTGGGATATATCAGCCTAGACCATAGACTTGTAGCCTATAAGATACTTATAGCCTAGAGTTATAATAATAATAATAATAATACTGTAGCTATGCATTTTTATGCTCACACCCTTCAACAATTAACATAAAATTACAGAAAAAAAGTAAATAAATCAGTGGAAAAAATTGTTTTCTACAAACCCTAACTAGTAAACTAAAAGTATTTATTGATTGATAATTCTCTAATTCTAATGTAATCTAACTCCCTGAGAAAAAGAAAACACATGTTTAATTTTTTCCTAAATTTCTCTGTGTGTTAAATGATATGTGCCTGTAAAATGACGAAATTTTTGACGAAAAAAACAAACACAGCTGTCAGTATTATGTTTTCAATACACGTGGCCATAACAAACAGCTTTAATTAAAACATTAAAACTATCTATGTCCAGATCAGGATCATTGTATAGGATTATCTATTCTCATAAAGCTCATATAAAACACATCTTAGTCTCCTCGAAGTTGGTTCCCGTGGAAAAAACAGAAAGCTCAATTGCCCTGTCCACGTGCTTCACGAGACGCTGCTCGGGGAAAAGGTGTGTCGCCGTCGTGACGTCACGCCCGTACCTGAGTTTCGGTGAGGGAAAAGGGGAAGGGCCAACCGAGGGGAACAACATCAGCTCTCCGCCGTTCTCCGAGGTTAACTTGTCTCCTGTTGTTATGCTCGCTCACCGTCCAACAAGCGGCTGTCGCTGAACTTCGTCCCGAGGCAACCGGCTGCGGGAGTTTCTGAACACCGGACGCTTTTATCCGGTTGCTCCCGCCGACCGACGAGGAGAGAGAGAGAGAGAGGGCTCCCACTTCCTGCTTCTGCACAGGTATGTGTGTGTCGTTCTTTGGTATCGTGTTTGGTCGCTTTGTTTATTTGAGTTTGGGATCAGTTCTGCTGTAATTCTCACATTAAAAAAAAAAAAAAAAAAAGACATTGTGGTTCCTTTTACGCAACTTCTAACCTTGTAGCGACCCGACAAACAAATACGGTTTCCTGTGTCAAGGTGTGGACATGGAAGCTTAAAAAAAATGTTTGGAAAATCCGGATTTGCCGGATAGGGCTGCAGCATTGTGTGTCACTGAGCAGGCCTGTGTTGGATGTATCCGTGAGCCGGTTCACGGTTTACAATCCGCTGTGGGCTGACTCACTGTGCCTTTTATTTCCTCAGTCAGGATGTCAGTCACTCCTCGACGTGTCCGGCTGAAGCCCTGGCTGGTCGCTCAGGTGGACAGCGGGCGATACCCGGGTCTGGTGTGGATTGACCGTGAGGCCATGCGCTTCAGGATCCCATGGAAACACGCCACACGTCACACACCCCAGCACGAGGACGAGGACACCATATTTAAGGTAGGAGTCTCAACTACCTGTCTTTAACAGACCTAAAGCGTTGAGGTGAGTGTGCGTAAAGCGTTTGTTTACCTTGAGACAGACAGTCACCCTCTGGCACTGCTGCACAGACAGGGAGCACACTGTAGTCCATTATGTTTCATCCCATGTTCAAGCGAGGTTTATGCTGGTTCAGACCTGGTAATTAAGCTTTAAAAGGGGCCCAATTGTTCAGCATAAACTCAAGACCAGACCTTTGCATGTCTCAGCATCTGGTTTTGCAATCCAGGTATGTAAATCTCTCTGGCCTCAAGCATTAGGGAGCGTTGGTCATATGTATAGACCAAGGGTGTAAGTGACTGTCTGTGTTTGTGTTGCTGCAATCAAAGATCTTAGTCTGATGTTGTTGGGATCCATCTTTATGAGACTGTGTGCAGGTATTTAATCAGACGTTGTGTTCATTCCTTGTATGAGTGCATTCTATAAAGCAGTTGTGACGAAGACGGTGATTTTGATACCTCCGTTTTATTTAAATGTGCCTCCAGGCCTGGGCTGTGGAGACTGGGAAGTTCCAAGAGGGAGTTGATGAACCTGATCCTGCGAAGTGGAAAGCTCAGCTTCGATGTGCCCTGAACAAAAGCAGAGAGTTCAACCTGGTTTATGATGGCACCAAAGAAGTCCCCATGAATCCTTTGAAGATATACGATGTCTGTGAGATCCCACAGCCCCTCAGTAACCAAGGTAAATAAGAGCCTCAATTCATCTTTACACATTTTCATGTTTTTTGTAATATTGACCTTTTCTTTAAATCCTGTCTCCCACCCCACAGGGTCTTCAGACGCCGGTTCTTGGACTCCACATGATGAAGATGGTGGTGAGGAAGATATTCCAGATACACCAGAGTCTCTCCCTCCATACCCATCCAATGGTAAATGACTTCTCAAAATGCATTTCATGTATTTATTGTGTATTTTATTTTTTCTCAAAAAGCAGTGAGATGCAGTTTGATTTCTGTTAACAACTAATTCTTCTCTCTTTCGTCCTTCAGGCACCAGCCCCTCTCCTCTCATTATGTGGTCTCCTATGGGCTCAGAGTCCTCCATGCAGCCCCCTAGTTGCCCCCCTTCAAATGAGGTCTGGCCCAAAGAGGAGCCTGCTAAGATCTGGCCTAAAGAGGAGCCTGTGGATGTGGAGATGCACCCCACACCCTTAAATGACATGCCCCCCACTCCCCTGCCTGACCCCTTAATGCAGCCCCCTCCTTTACCGGACGCCCTGTTTGCCTCTCCTGAAATGTGGATCAGTTCACTCCCGAGTAAGCATGGACTTCTTCTGGTATTGTTGTTGTCTTTGACTTCAGTCAGTAGAGTTGGATTTAGAGGTGTGGATACCTGCTGTAGCTTTGGGGATAGCTACTATAGCTCAGTCCAGGGGTGTATGTAATGTTAACATTTGGAAAAGAAAATAATTTTTTTTTAAAAAGAGAAATATACTTTAGATAGAAAAGCAGGTGCATGGTGTTAGAAAGATTTAATATTCTATAGATTTGTTATTGTTAACAAATCCAATTAACCATAACTAACTCTGTGTTTTGTCTCAAGCCTCAACCCCATTGGTTCCATATATTCACATACATTTTTAAAAAAGGGTCACAAACCTTTGAAGAAGGGTGTGTTATTTCCTAAAACAGTCTAGGGCTGCACAATTAATCAAAATGGCCAAGTGCAATATGCAAATTGGATACAAAACGATCATTTCCACAATTAATAATTGTGAATCATATCGCAATATCTGTCAAAATAATCGCAATATGCTGTTTCTAGATATTTTTTTTATATCTTGCAGGCCTAGTTTTTTGTGTGTGTTTGCACAATTAGTGCAACAATGTGGCTTATTGATTTGATCTTAACACAGAGGAATAAGCCACACAGACAGAACTTGTTAGAAATAATTTGCAGACAGTAAGAAAATTATAGAATATCACCATACATATTTCTTTAATTAAACTAGATCTACACTGATATACCTCCAACCCTTGGGGGCCCTTCCAGTACAGTTCAGGAGTACAGGAGTTTTTTGGGTGAACTGAACCCTTTTTTTCTTTTAAGTTGTACATCGAACCTAGTTTTAACATGTGCCTTAATTTTTCTTTGACCCAGTGACAGACCTGGAGGTGCAGTTCCTGTACAGAGGGAAGGAGATGTGTCCCACAGCCACCGTCAGTAACCCACAGGGCTGCAGGCTGTTCTACGGAGACCTCGGCCCCATGGTCAACCAGGAGGAGCTGTTCGGGCCGGTGAACCTGGAGCAGCTGCGCTTCCCGACCACAGAGCACATTGCCAACGACAAGCAGAGGGTTTTCACTAGCCGCCTGCTGGATGTGATGGACAGAGGCCTCATCCTGGAGGTCAATGGCCACGATATCTATGCAGTCCGTCTCTGCCAGTGTAAGGTCTACTGGTCTGGTCCCTGTGCTCCAAATCCAACTGCACCAAATCTTATTGAGCGCCAGAGGAAGGTCAAACTCTTTTGCCTGGAGTCCTTTCTCAGTGGTAAGTAGAATTCTCACTTTTTATTGTCACAATTAGGAGCTCTGGTTTTATAGGGATGTTATTTAAATTATGGTCTTTGCTTGTATTTTAAAAAAAAAATGTAATTTCCTCTGAGACAGAATTGTAACAAATGATTTTGGTGTGCAGGAGTGATAGCCCACCAGCGTGGCCAGACACCAATCCCCCCTCAGTTTGAAATCAACCTGTGTTTTGGAGAGGAGTGGCCTGATGGGAGACCCAAAGAGAGGAAACTCATCATGGTTCAGGTGAGAAGGTTTTTGTAACAACAGTTTGAATAAAGTAATGAACCTCTGTGGTCATCGAGAAACAATACAGGCCAGTAATCAGCTGTCAGACTCTTCACTTTATACCTGTGCATGAACAATCTCCGTCTCTTTTTTACAGCAGTTGAAAGAATAGTTGACTCCATATAAATAACCAACTGCATAGAAACATTTCATTGTTAGAAAAGA